CCCAATTTTATCTTCACTAAATGTAGAAGAATTAGTTCTGCATCAATCTGCATTAACATTCCCTATACCTAAATTTAATAATTTTTAAGTTATGGTGACTTTTTGTTAAGACTGCCGAAAATTTATTACTTGCCACATCCGTTTTCGTATAGTTTGTTATGGAAATTAAAAATGTCAAAATTTACTGTTGACGTTGGTTTAGAGAAAATTTTGACAATTTTGATTTCCAGAGCAAACTATGTGAAAACAGGTGTGGCTAGTAATAAATTTTAATAATAATTAATAAAAAGTCCATAACTTGAAAATTATTAAATTTAGGTATAGGGAATGTTAATACAGATCAATACACAATTAAATTATCTTCTATTTAGTAAAATAAAAATTGGGGTATTTCATTTGAAAAAACTGAGTTATGAGTATTTGAATTATTACAAAAGTAACCTTAAAATTTTGGGAAATGTTATTTTTTTTTCAAATTTGAAAACACCAGAAAAAGGATCTAAGCTTTCTCTTTCAAACGCCAATCAATTCAAAATCTTAAAAAATGGCAGAGTTACCGATTTTTAAAGTGCAGATCCAAAACATTTTGAAAAACTCCAAATATTTCAAAAACGGCTAAATTTAGGTATGAGGAAAGCTGATGAAAACTCCCTTAAAATAACCCGATTAATCCAAAAACACAGTTAAACAGATACCTTTCCATTTAAAATTAGAAAGTTGAGACCGACTTCCGGTATAAGCGGAAGTGCCGCCATCTTGAAAATATTTTCATTTAAGAGGACTTAATAGATTATGACTATGTACCAATTTTCAGACAAATATGATTATTCGAACTCCCAATACTTTTAATGTGGGGTTTAGACGGAACATCCTGTATAATTTGACAACAAATGCAAAATAAAATACATAATTTAAAAAGCAATACTATAATATATAAATTTTCTAAATCGTAACTGTCAAAACCATGACTTTGCCTTCACCAAACGAAAACTTTAATTAATTCCAACATATACATAAGAAAAATTTAAACGCTTATCTCAAATGACTATGATGCAGCCATCGCTTGTTGTTGTTCCTGCTGCTGTTTTTGTTTAAAAAGAATTGTTTCTTCGAAAATTAACCGTTTTAATTGATCTTTCGGTAAATCGTCCAGTTCTGTATCAAAGCGGAATGGAGTTTCAGCCACCGGCTGTAAACAATAAGAATTTGTGTAACAACAAACCAAAACTTTAAAATAATTAATCACCTCATCTGCTGGATCATAATACTGCTCTAAATACGGATGCGCCAACGATCCTTCGACACCAATTCTTTTATGAGGATTAAACGTTAACATCTTATCTAAAAGATCTAACGCTTTAGGATCTGCGTTTGGGAATAGTTTCGACCAAGGAACTTTAGGTTTATATGGCAAAGATTGTATGTAACTTCTCGCCTAAAATAGCATAAATACACTAAGCAGTTACAAACATAATGGTAATTAATTTTTACTTTTTCGTTTATAATACAATTGAGATCTTCTTCTGAAGGGGAACCCAACACTCCAAGAATGTGATTTAATTGATCTAAATAATGCTTTCCAGGGAAGATCGGTCTATTTGATAACATTTCTGCTAAAATGCAACCCACCGACCATATATCTATAGACTTCGTGTACCCTTTTGAATTAAGCATGATTTCCGGTGCTCTATACCATCTAGTTGCTACGTATTCAGTAAGGAACCCTGTATGATCATGTTCGGGGTCAGCTACTCGAGCCAATCCAAAATCACATATCTATAAAAAAATAAATAAATATGTAAGCAAATTGAGGTTGGTTTGGTACGCAGTCACAAAAACAAATCGTCGTTTATTCTGCAATATCTGCTATGTGCATCTCAACTTTTAGTTTCCGAGTTTTGCAAAAAAAAAAAAATGGCAACCTACTATGACAAATAAATAAAAATAATACATGCACCTGCACAAAAAATAGTGCTGTCCTATGACTAAATGCATCAAACGATCACTTCGGTTAAGTTTGGAAAATTTATTAAAATTTTATTATTAAATTTATTAAAAAAGCCTATACTACCTTAAAAAAACAATTTTATTAAATTAGAGTAATTTTTGGATCTTATTCTTTGAAGAAAGAAATTTATCATAGTAGGTTGCCATTAAAAAACATTTATCACTTCCATTAATTCGAAACTGTCGCATTTACTAATTTCAAAAAACCTGAATAATCCTTTTGTTACAAATAACTAAATCGAAGAAAATATCAACTTCCTGTGTATCAACGCGGTTTCCAAGTGGAAATCAAGCTGAATTTAGAAGAAAAAAAAAACAAAGTAAGAGAAAAATCTAATCTCGAGTACAGGGTGCGCCCGAACTCCTGCCCCAGAGAAAAATTTCAAGTAAGATAGGATACCCGGAACACCAAACAAAAATTATTAAAAACTTCTATCTGTTATAAAATTTTGACATTTATTTTTTGACATTTGACATTTTTGTATGTTTACTTAATGATATTGATGATTTTGTATATGTAAATTTTGCCAATAAAAGCCACAAATAACATTAAATACAGTTACAATTTAGGGTACAGCTTCCTTGTTTCCTTTTCTAATACGAGTAGCTTATAGCAAAAAAACTTTGAAAATTATTTTTCCAACAGAAATAGAGTCAAAGTATAAAATTCAATCTCTCATAACTACGAAATTTTTATAGGTACTTTTTTTTTCATGTTCCTGGTATGTTACCTTACATGGATGGCATTTTTCTCTGAGGCGCGAGTTCCGGCCATCCCTATATATGCAGCAAAAATCACTTACTGTTTTCTTTTAATTATATCATTGAATCAAAAAAATTCTGATTAGTTGCTTCGTTGTTTGTTTTCTGAGATAATTAATTTATCAAAAATAAATAAAAACTAAAAACTATTAATCGCTTTTATTCGTGGCCAAAGTTGAATCACCTATTTTAGCCAGATTATTCAACTTCAGCCATTTCGTATTATGATACACTTTCAATACAGGTAACAATATATTTGTTATATTATAAACAGGCAGCAAAATAACAGGTCGCAAAAAAACCTAAAAAAACTGTTTATTTATTAATTACAATTATCTATTTAATTACTTATTACTGTCTACAAAAGCGAGCCAAAAACTGATGTCTTACCCTATACATTTCAAAATTTTCCTTCTTCCAAAAAAACAACGCGTTTTTAAACAAAAATTTTCTCCATTTACAAGTACATATATGTCAAAATCATACTAACAATTTATTAATAAGAAAATTTTTAAATGTGTCAAGTAAACACAAAACTTATTAAATATTCAAGAAAACAACATAATCATGGTCCATATTTTTTTTTTTAAATAATAATCTCTTTTTAATATAAATGAATGTTACACTTTTTGCAAATTGGAGGCATTTTTTGTTTAGATAGTATGTATGTTTAATTAACCACTCCTAATAACTAACGAGAGTAGCACTGTGTATTTAATTCCAATTTTATCTATCTAATTTTCATTAAATTGTAAAAATTGTATTATACAATAAAATAAATTCCGAGTACTTTTTGGAGAACCAAAAAATAATCTTGAAATGTACCACACGATAGAACATATATTTGTCGATTAATATTAATAATTTTTTTCAAAATGCCAACTAGTCTTATTAACTGACAATAATGACTAATAAGGTACTTACTTTAAGATCGCAGGTTGTGTTTAAGAGAAGATTGCTTGGTTTCAAATCCCTATGAAGTACATTTGCCGAATGTATATATTTCAACCCTCGCAGGATTTGATACAGGAAGTAACATATGTGGTCGTTACTCAGTCTCTGGAAAAAAGTATTATGAATTATAAAGTGCTTTATCCATATTTAAGTAGATTATAGAACCAAGACCAAAGCAACTTTAACAATAAATCCTAACTAGAATCACTGGGATAACAGCTTTAAAGTACGTAAGTAACCGAGAATAAAGTTTGTTTATTTTGGTTTTGTGATTTTGTGTTTATTAGATTTCAAGCGAGCTTATACCTGTGGTAACAACAGCAACTATTTGCTTAATTATTTAAGATAAACTTTAGTCAAATAACTTGATCATAACAAATTTATGTTAGGTTCCAATTAATGTGAATTTTGCAATTTTACACTGTTCGTGTTGTTTTACACTGTTGCGTTGACTATGTCTGACAAATGCCGAGGTCAGTTTACACAGACCTCGACCAATATTTACGTTGATTTTCAATTTTCCCTAATGTATGTGATCAGATCAGATATTTGCTGCATCCCCCATAAAAATACAGTGGTAAATCGATCAGCGGCATAAAAACCTTTAAGTTCATCTGCAAATTATTTAAATTTAAGTTAGTTATTTTAACAAATACAGGGAAGTCTTAACTTATACGCACAATTTTAGAGTATGATAGGTTATGCCAAAATAATAACTAATAGTGAAAAAAATTCTAACAAACATTTATTTATTTTGTACTCAATGTTAAAGAGTGCTTTTATCCTCGCTTTTATCTACTAATTTCAGTGGATAAAGTAGTCTTTTATCGTCTAGTAAAATAGTACAAAATAAAACTACGACTCGTGAAAAAAGTCCACTCGTGACTTCGTCACTCGTAAACTTAACATTTTCACTCGTAGATAAACAATTTCTTTATCGTCTTGTATAATAAATAACTATTCTTAGTTACAGAGATATACCGCGTTAAAACACTATAGTAGAAATAACGAGGATCATCAATTTCATTTTCTCATTACTAACACAAAAGTGAAAAAAAAAATTCTTTCACAATGTAAATTGAAACAATTAAAGGGTCTCTAAGGATAGTAGCCTTGAACATTAATTTAGGTACTGTGCGATAAAAAAAAATTACAACACGAAATTTTCCACACAAACTGGAAGTGAAAATGACCTTTCACCATTTTCGTCTTGTACAGCATTTTTGTAATAACTTGCAACAATAAAGATTTTCTGCTCTAAAGTGAACATGATTTCACTCAAAACGAAAAAACGCAAACTTGTCAGAGTTTCAGCTCACATTTGACGTCAAAAATCAGGAATGCCATCTGAAAGACTTTAATCACCGCCTACTGTAATTTTTTTTTTGATCGCACGGTACTTCAACTACACCACTTAAATAACGTGCGATCAAAAAATAAATAAATTAGAGTAGGCGACGATTACTATTCTACGATTGACAACATAAAATTTTACACCCAAACTGGAAGTGAAAATGGCCATGTACAGCATTTTTGTAATAACTTGCAACAATAAAAATTTTCTGCTCTAAAGTGAATATTATTATTTCACTTAAAACGAATAAAACGCAAACTTGTTAGAATTTCCGCTGACATTTGACGTCAAAAATCAGTATTGCCATCTCTAATTAATCATCGCCTACTCTAATTTATTTTTTTTGGTCGCACGGTATTATGTTCGATTGAATTTGTCAATTTGACATTGACAGTAACATTATTGTCGTCGTTGAAAGTCTTTTTGGTATAATTTTCATGTATTTTTCGTTTATTGGTTGATTTATTGCTTTTGTTCTACGTCTCATTAGTTTCTTTTAATAAGTCCTTACGTTACGAAGTAACTTCCATGAAATCAGGCATAAATGTACCTGTGTTAGTGTAAAAAATTGGAATAATGAGGGGTCACCGATAAAAATTAACCCCCTATCATCCGTTATTTATTCTACAACAAATGGGACCAATTTAAAAAAAAAAACATTCAAATGCTGTTTTAGTACCGTGCGATCAAAAAAATAAATAAATAAGAGTAGGCGGTGATTAAAGTCCTTCAGATGGCAATCCAGATTTTTGACATCAAATGTCAAAATTTGACAAGTTTGAGTTTTATTCCTTTTGAGAGAAATAATGTTCACTTTACAACAGAAATTTTTTATTGCTGTACAGGGTGCTGCATTTTGGATGTCCGAATAGGGAATCTCCGAAACTAAGAGGTTTAGCCAAAAGCGAGTAATACATTCTGGGGCTCATTTTTTGAGAAAATAATATTGGTTAAAACCGCATCCCGCGATCGTCTTTTGTTTTCGACTTATAGACAAAAATTGACATTTTTTGTTTGTTTAGCCCACGATCGTAAAATAGACAGGTCTGGAAACTCCATTCATAAATACGTTTGAAAATTGAATTATTTTTTCTGAATCGCAGGTGGTTATGGAGGGCAACTATACCCGTGGCGCCTTCACGTGGTGATTTTATTAATTCACTGTTTGACAGCATTTTGGCAGCTAACCACAAATTTAAAAAGCAAATTTTTCTCTATTTCCAACTTTTCTAAATATTTTAGCCGCTTGTGCACAGTTCTTCGGTGTTTTAGGATGGTTTTCTTTGATTTATACTTCATGTTTTCTTGGTTAATATCTTGTTTTCTTTGGTTCTGTTTAACTTGATTTCTTATCTAAATTAAATATTAAAAAAAATTTTTGATTTTGAGTTTGTCGTTCAATGTTTTTGGCAATGAAAAAGGTAAATATATTTGTTTATTATATTATATTTATATTTTTATATCTTGTTTACACAAAAACACTTCTGCAGATGCCCAGAATTTGAGCTGTTTTCCATTGAACGACTAAATGAAGTAGTAAACAATTGTGTTTTTTTGGGTGAAAGAAAAATTGGACCTAAGGGCAAGGGATGAAACTCTAAATACTGTACTGCAAAGAAAAGACAAGCTGTCAATTACATTTTGAGAAAAAAGATACAAAATTAGGGAGAAAACATTAAAACATTTAACATTGAAGCATTTAATCGACTAGGGTTTTGAGTTTGACATATTTGTAGTCTAAAAAGTAATATTTTGTCTTTAAAGTCCTATAGATAAATGAGTCCACAAATGAATCAAGTTTTTAAAAAAATATTTATTTCTTTACTCTGTTTACAAAGTGCCCGCTCACCACAAAAATAGATCCTGAAATTGTCTTTATTGTAACTGTGGTTTTCTTTATTATTCAAAAAATCTTGCTGCACACGAAGTGGGTCCCGACCATCGTGTTTCTGACCAAGTAAAAAACACCATTTTTATAAATCTTGGAAGATTGTCTTTACAAAATCCTTCTACATTGTACATTTTGCACCAACCTTGATCGCTACATTATTAGTTAGAATTGGATAACTAAAAAATAACTTATGTATAAAAGTTATTTACTATAACATTATTTATTTGTTGTTTTATTTAACTAACACTTCTTTTCCACGTCTTTTTTAAAAGTCTTGCATTATTATCATCTAGGTAGCATCTTGTGTAAAGATCAATAACAGCAATGTTTTCTACTCTTTTTTTTCTGTTAGATGATAAGGTGGCAATTAATAAATGCTGTGGATTGACTTGATAGCATGACCGTTATTCCAAAAGATGCAGATTTGTTTAAAAGTTAAAGGATGTTTCCTATCATCAAGTGTAAAACCAAACCAAAAACCTCCTCGAGGACTAAATAAATGAAACGGCACTTAGCTGCCACTTTTATTAAACATATTGTACTTTATATGTGGCTTTTATTAAGTTGTTTTTTGCACATTTTGACAAGCCCACAGTAACCTAACAAATTATGACAAGCGCTAATTTAATATTTGACATTATTTACGCACGGAGACGTCATTTTTCGTTCATAAATACGCAGTAATTAACGTAGTACCCGATAGAGGCACCACGGGTATAGTTGCCCTCAAAACCTACTGAGATCCAAATTTTTTAATTCAATTTTGAAACACGAGTTTCCAGACCTGTCTATTTTACGATCGTGGTTTAGCCGTAATTAAATAAACTTGTATTTTTTTAAATAGGAATCATAGATGGCTATGTCATTTTTAAAAAGCTTGTTTTTTTTTTTATCTAAAAAATATATATTTGTAACAAATTATGATAATACATTTTTAGCAAAAAATTATCTTTGATTTTTGTTCGCAGTTGGCCATGAAAAAATGTTGCCTCTTCAAGTAAAAGTATTTAAACTATATTATAATCAACCAGTGTCACTAATGAAAGAGTTTTCTAAGTACTAAGTAATAAAAAAAAAATGCAAAATGAATTGTAAATCAACTTATTGGCGACTAATAACATTTCTTTGTTTTTAAACAAACTAACATTACCATTAAACTTCTAGTGATACATAGAGTGTTGTAAAAAAGCCGCTTAAATTCTTCAATAAAATATATTTTATATGACACAAAAATGACGATATGGCTATTCAAATACCCAAATTCCGTCTATGTGAAACGTTATCCTACCTCTATTAGATCATCAAAAAAATGTTTTTCTAATTGTGTTGACTGTAGACACATTTGTTTTTCCTATTTTTGGATTTTTTAAAAATATGTAATAATTTTTTCTGAGGCGCTCGCATTTTTGTTCAATGCTTCTACCGTATCGTATTTTTAAATTTTTATAATTGTATCTATTTTACAGTTCACAAAACTCTTATTTAATTATTATTTACACATTTGGAGTGAAATAGTTTTTTCATGGCCAACTATTATCAAACAAAATATGTATTTCACTTTTTAAATACAGGCTGATTCTTAAATAGACCGACAAAAATTTATCATTGGTAGTATCAAATGAGAACATGCTGGATAAAAAGCGTACGCCACTGATGTGTTCGTAAATAGTATTAACACAGGTAGTGGAAACCATGGTATTAATTTGATCAAAATGTACTTGATCATTACAACAATTCATAAACGCCGTAAGTGGCACGGATCAAGGGGGTTTTGCCCCTACAAAATATAAACGTAAAAAGGGTACAGTTTGTCTCCATTTATACTAGGGAAGCTGTGATAAAATTTTGTCGGTCTATTCAAGAATCACCCTGTATAGTTATAAAAAAATATTCTGTTACAAATATATATTTTTTAGATCAGAAAAAAATATACAAATATATATTTTTTAGATCAGAAAAAAATAAGCTTTCCAAAATTGTCAAAGCCGCCTATGATTTCCATTAAAAAAAATAAAAGTTTATCTTATTACGGCTAAACTAATGACTGAAAAAATTGTTAACTACATTATTAAATTCCTCGTAAAAGAGTATAATGTATTTATTTCAAATCCGTATCTTCTATAATAACGAAGTTATGAATTTTTTTAGATTTCGCCAAAATGTCAACTTTTGTCTGAAGTCGAAAACAAAAGACGATAGCAAGATGCGGTTTGCACCAATATTATTTTCTCAAAAAATGAGCCCCAGAATGTATCACTCGTTTTTGGCTAAACCTCTTAGTTTCGGAGATTCCCTATTCGGACATCCAAAATGCAGCACCCTGTACAAGAGGAAAACGGTGGTTGGTCATTTTCACTTTCAGTTTGTGTGGAAAATTTCCAGACCAGATTCCCAGTCAATGTGTTGCCAACTGTAGAATTTAATCGGCGCCTACTCTAATTTATTTTTTTTTTTGATCGCACGGTTATACAGGTTGCGCCAGAACTCGCGCCCCAGAAAAAAATGTTTAAAAAATTCTATGTCAAAAAATTTTGACATTTGACATTTTTTTATCTCTATTTAATGACACTGATGATGTTGTAGATGTTTTTTGACAATTATTTAGTAAAGGGTGTAACCGTACCATTTGTATTTAATTGTTCGGTAAAATGTGTTGCCTATGCATTTTTGAAAATTTTATTTGACTCTGCGGTGACGGATCACGCCACAGTGGGAAAGGGGGGATTTTGTGTTTTTTTTGGGTTTTTCGAAAAAGTGAGAAAACAAAGGAAGGTGTAGCAGTCGTCGTTAGGCAGGCGAAGAGTGAGGAGAATTTTGTTGTTTTTCCTTTTTGAATTAAATTTTGGAAATTGTTGGGATGTCGACTACACCCGGGGGACTTCCATCGAGGAAGAGAAGGAAGCGTCGTCGCTTGGAGGAGGCTGCAGAGGAGACCGTGGGGCTCAGGAAGATGAGACCGGACGCGACAGGGGGTATGACTAATTACGTCACCAAAMACRTAAATTCTGTATCGATATTACGTGAAAATTGAGCCTAAAATATTGTTTTCTTCATAATAATCATGATTGTTGTTAATTTGCCATGAGTTTTGTAAATGGATAATTCGTCTGGTAAAAGATTAAGTTTTCGGGTTTGTTTTATGTAACGCGAGATGAAAAGTAAAACTTCTGTAGCTTCTCCTGGTTTCATGCATGCCGCATTGCGTTCTGTCTTTTACTGTTCTTTATTCTCCTTTAATTGGGCAATCATATCAGCAAAGTCCCGGTAGCTGATAAGTAATAACGCTTCCATGTACACAGGGCACAAAAGAGGAGCTTGTCGAAAAAGGACGGTTTTTGCCCACTAAAGAGACCATAGGTCCAATACCATTGTCGACTCGACAGAGTTGTAGGGTTTCGAGACGCGATTGTTTGATTGATTGAGAGTCCTTGATATATGTTTTTCTTCCTTTCTCCTTCGAGATTGGGAGATGGCTACAGCGGTATCGGGAATTGTGTTGTAGATTTTTGGTACATTGGATTCGAGGTTTTCACAGTAAAAAGAAAAGAAACTGTTTCATAAGAATGCCTTGATTTGTTTTTCTGAATGTATTTATTAATTGTTGTTTTTTGTTGTGACATAATTTATTTGATAAATTCATTACCAGCGAATTTCCTATTGTTGTTTTATTTAATTGTTGAATTATACTTCATATTAATAAAACATTAGTGTTTTATTTCTTGATTATTTAATTTTACTCCCATCCGTTTGTTCAGTGCTTCGAAGAAACGACGAAGGATTATTACGAACAAACTAACAACCACAACGTAGGGTTATCTTATTTTAAAATGGGTCCAAAACTATTCCGATCACACGTCATGAGCAATTCTCCCGCTCAAATTTGAATTTTTCTTGAGCATTTTGAAATGCCGCCATTGAATCCAAACTGTAAGGTTAAAAGGGATAAAAATTTTGCCAATAAAAGCCACAAATAACATTGAACAGAGTTACAATTTAGGGTACAGCTTCCTTGTTTCTTCTTTTAATAGTTTATAGCAAAAAAACTTGAAAAATGATTTTTCTAACAGAAATAAATAGAGTCAAAGTGCAAACTTTAAACCCTCATAATTTCGAAATTTTTATAGATAACATTTTTTAACAATTTTTCCATGTTCCTGGTATCTTACCTTATATGGCATTTTTCTCTGGGGCGCGAGTTCTGGCTCACCCTTTATAAACACGTGTGTAATGTGATCAACAGTATAGTAGTAATTCAAAATATAATTCTCAGAAAGGTACCACTGGGTGAAGCTTGAATGAGTACCTTCCGTAATTAGTATTTTAATATACCCATTATTGTGTTGTTTGTCAAAACTGACAAATTGTAAGTGCGCTCGCTATGATTTCATATTTATTACAAAAAATCTTTGAAATCTACCTAACTTATGAAAATGTAATGTTGGTTGCATCGAGAATTGGTCAGGCTCATTATTCCTCGTGAATCATCCTGCATATTCAGGTTTTAATATCAGCGCAACAAGACCAAACATCTACTAAAATACGCAAAGCTTTTTTTTCTTATTCCAACTTACCTGTGTTTTAAGAAGTTTATAAAGGTCTGTTTCCATTAAGCATTGTACAATATAAACATCCCTCATCTGATCTATCGTAACCGCTCGAAGTATGTCCCTTATGTCGATAATCTGGAACAAAATCATACAATCATACTTTCCCCGCCTTTTCCCTGTTTCGAATTTAAACCCCTAATAAGTAAAGAGATACAAGCATATTAAATTACACTTGTTACCTACATGAGTACGAGTATGTAAACGTTAAATCTTGTTTAAATCTTACATTTCATCGTTACATCCCTTTCAAATCAACACGCAGGTAAATATGTGACACAAATACGTAAACTCAAATTCCTAATTTCATTAACGTTATCATCTCATCCGTATAACCGTATAAGTACAGCTGAAATACAACTCAGCTAATAGATAATAAACTGATGCGTCTATGTGCACAAGTGGAGAGTTTGATGGAAATGTTGATCAGTTATCATCACAATCAGAGACGCAGCGATGAGAGAAAGTTTTGAAGATTTACCTACTACTTTTATTATTTGATTATTTTATACATGACAAAGTTACACTCAACTTTTATTACAAAAATGTCTAAATTTTGTGTTTATTTCAAGAGAACAATTTTTTCAGCATTTATTTTTTTCTATAATTATTATTAACTTCTGATAGTTATACAGGTTGTTTGCGGAACTCGTCAAGAAAAACAACTTTTCTATTTCCAACTTTTGCCGAAAATATGTCATTTCTGAATTAAAATCAACAATAAGTTGAAACTGAAAACCCGTCTCCGCCTATGTCTTAATACCATATTTACATTCGTTTGAAAAAAACAAACTATGGAACGTAAATAACATAAGATCAAAAAAATATCTACATTAAAGCAGATCAGTGTCAATGGGGGCAATATTTGCTCGTAATGTGGTTCTTCGTTGGCAATAGGCGATCGCAGAAATCTGAAGCGACATCTGGTGTGATTTAACAAATTAGCGAAAAACGTATAACTAAAATATTGATTACGTTGTAATTACTGAAATGAGGGCTTCCAAATAATTAAATACGTCCACAAAATTTAAAAACAGTATTTTCATTTATGCAAAACTAAATATTTATTATGCAAAATATTTTATGTCGAATTTTACAAATGATTCCATTATTAATTCAAAATAAACATGAAACTGCACCACGCTTCATAATTCAAGCCTATAAGTGAGCTAAATAAAATTAATAATTAATTAACAAACATTGCCATAAGTCCTTTGATACACGCCGTTGAGGCGTAAATACTGTACTTACAATGCGGCTAGATAATTTTCATTACATTTCAGCATTTGTTCAGGTTACAAAATCGCATTCGTATTTTATTTAAAAATCTACTACATACAAACTAAAAAAAAAAACACACAATGAAGCTGTAATTTCTTGAAAAAAAAAAATTGTTGAAAAAAATATTTCGTTAGATTACTTGATCATAATTCTTATTATTCTTTAATTTAAAGAATCCGTAAATCCGTTCGCTTGTTTTGTTTCCGTTTAAACTTTTTTTTTCACAATATCCAAACATCTTTATTCTATCAATCACCCTCGTGATTTTTAATAATAATAAAAACACTCTTTCAGTCAACCTTCCTTCCAAAAGCAATTTATCTTTAAGAGCATTTTTATAAAGTTATAGCTTACGAAGTTGAATATTAATTGTGATTTACTGCATCTGTAAAACGTCATCACGTACAGTCGAACAAAATGAAAATGATACCTCAATAAACCAGCCCCTGCCGGGTGCCGACCCTTCTAACCGCAAGCAGACAAGGTCGTAAATTATCGGATTGCAAACTTGACGTAGTTTCAAGAAAAATTCCTTTAGTAGCCGGTTTGCAGAAAGCGAAGTGAAAATTTAATTCAGAATTAAACTAATTCGAATTAAGTTGCCATTTATTTTGCATTGACACACGTCAAATTAATTAAATGGAAATATTATTTTTTTTTTAATGAAAAATTTAACAAACCATTTCTTAAAGAAAATTATGCATTAATAATGACATTGACAAAAAAAAACAAATCATTTTCACTTAATATTTTTTTAACTGTTTTTTCAAAATAAAATTAATTAACATTATTTTTGAACGAAATAGGCTTCCTCTATTTTAAACTTGATTTTATGTAAAACAACAAATGAAATAAATCATTGTTTATTTGCGAGAAGAACGTTTAATTCCACGTGTGCCTTTACCGCGAGTGGTTTAATTCTTTGAGCATAAAGCGAAATTAAAATTTACTTCAGAATTAAACTAATTCGAATTAAGTTGCCATTTATTTTGCATTGACAAACGTCAAGTTAATCGCGAATTAAAATATAATTGCGATTAACACGTTCTGTAAACCGGCCCTAAGTTTTCTATTAGTTTTGTAATTGTCATTGAAAACAAATCAAAATTATTTATTTAACTAAACCAAGAAAAAAACGGTAAAATTATTTCAAATATTTTAGTTTTGCTACAAAATTTATTTTTTGATAATTGTAATACTCGTACTTTTATATTAAATAAAAATCTTTAGTTTTATAAATAGACAATTTAACAAAAAACATTTCTTAAAGAAAATTATGCATTAATAAGATGAAATTTACAATTTACAAAGCAAACAAATTATTATTAATGTAATAAATTTTTTTGGTAAACTGTCAGGATTGCCAACATATTCAGTCATTGTGGATCACTTTGTATTTTAATTAATTTATAAAATAATTTTATTTTGAAAAATAGTTGAAAAATGGTTTGTTCAATTTTTTATTAAAAAAATTACATTTTCATTTAGCTTGACCTTTGTCAATGCAAAATAAATGGCAACTTAATTCGAATTAGTTTAATTCTGATTTAAATTTTCATTTTGTTCGACTGTATACAGCGTGCGCCAGAACTCGCGCCCCAGAGAAAAATGTCAAATGCCGGGGGCAATAGGTCGCCAAAAAGTACAGCCGAAGAAGTAATTTTTGGTTGCATAAGAAAGTTATTAGACTCTTAAATCCACCAATCCCAGAAGGGCACCTCAGGGTGCGATTAACAAATTATATCCGTTGCTAGGTTACGAAAATAATACCAATTTGCCCAGAATTTTAAAAAATAGCTGGTCTACTGTAATTTTGCGTTTGACATTTATTAATTTGTGGGTGAAATTACCTGCTAGTTTCCAGTATTTTTCTCGCTGAAGAGGTGGTACACGAGTATAATGAGACAGAATCGTTAATTATTATCAACAATTATCAAAAATTATTTTGAAACATTCTGGAAATTCCTGATGAACCGACTTCTTCACAGGTATTGTTCTTTCTGAACTTTTTCTTCGATCTGATACAGATTAACAAACCGATAAATGAATTTTAGAGCTTGAAAACTAGTGCGTTATCTTTGTGAAACAAAGAAGCAAGTGAGAGTGAGACCAGAAAAACATGAAGAAGTACGCAAGTTTCTTTATCTACTTTAAAGCAAAATTAACAGAAAGATGTACTTTTTATAAGAAATTGTGTTTAAATAAAACAGGTTACTAATTTTAATATTAAAATTGTAGTTTTACTCTCGTATTTAGGCATTTTTGTCCAGGAGAGAAATTCTAACCTCAAAAGTTATTGTTGCTTTCTTCCACTCACATGAGCTTACTATAACCCCTTAGCTGCTTTTTCATTAAAAAATCCAGAAAAATGTTGCGRTGTTTGTRTTTAGTACGAAAAATGAGCATTTTTGCTGCTGGAAAGTAAAATCCAAATGTTTTAATTCCGAGGGCATTTCAGCAACGCTTTTCGGTGAATTTGTAGGCTGGTCTTTCGAGGAATCATGTAGTTTGTCAATAATATCAACTAATTTCAACATAACGTGACTCCTTTTCTAAAAAGTACATTTTTCTGTTAATTTTGCATTAAAGTAAATAAAGAAACTTGCGTACTTCTTCATGTTTTTCTGGTCTCACTCCCACTTGCTTCTTTGTTTCATAAAGATAACGCACAAGTTTTCAAGCTCTAAAATTCATTTATCGGTTTGTTAATCTGTATCAGATCGAAGAAAAGGTTGAGAAGGAACAATACCTGTGAAGAAGTCGGTTCATCAGGAATTTCCAGAATGTTTCAAAATAATTTTTGATAATTGTTGATAATAAATAACGATTCTGTCTCATTATAATCGTGTACAACCTCTTATGCGAGAAAAATACTGCAAACTAGCAGGTAATGTCACCCACAAATTAATAAATGTCAAACGCAAAATTACAGTAGACCAGCTATTTAATGAAAATTCTGGGCAAATTGGTATTATTTTCGTAACCTAGCAATGGATATAATTTTTCAATCACACCTTGAGGTGACCTTCTGAAATTGGTGGATTTAAGAGTCTAATAACTTTCTTATGCAAGCAAAAATTACTTCTTCGGCTCCACTTTTTGGCGACCTATTGCCCCCGGCATTTGGCATTTTTCTCTGGGGCCCGAGTTCTGGCGCACCCTGTATAAACGCCATTTAGTGATCTGGCAAAACTGAAATTTATTAGGTATATTAAACAGTATTGACGTGCTTTTATTATTATTGTGAAAAACTGCATTATAATAATTAACATTAAAACGTAACACGTAATAAACGTTACAAAAAATGTAATTAAAACTAATTTGAAAAGTTTGAAACAACAAATTTTGTAGACAGAAAAACGCTATTTAGTATTACCAAGACAAAAGCTTTCATCGACGAGGGAAGATTCTGGCTTGAATCAACTTGCGTTTAATGACCGTATTTTGTTGTATTGTCATGAGATTTTTAACGTTGTGCAGTACATGTATTTAAAAGTTTCCGGAAAAAAACGTTGAAAGTTTTCGGGGAGTGGTTATCGAGATCAAAATAAAACAAAAAATTCAAAAAAAAAATTGGCCTAATTAGGGAGTTAGAGCGATACCTCGACCCATGCCTCGACCTTATATGAAAAACTCACTAAAGTCTGTGTACGGAGACATTTTTTAAATAAAATTAGAAGATAAATCCAAAGCTGCCCAAAAAAAATAAAAAACTTCTTCTAAAGCAAAATTTTAACTTAATTAAATTGACCCCAATGCCTCCGCTCCCCTAATTAGGGTATACAATTTTTGATATAACCAATAAATTCAGCGGCAAACAATTACTCCAAATGCAAACTTTTGTAAATTTATGTCAATCGGTTACTGATGAAAGATTTTTTGACCGCCATCTTTAGGGGGCTCTAGTTCCCTCAGGAAGCTTTTCCAGTCCACAGAAACTTTAATGTTGGTTTTGAACTCTCCCATCGCAACCCGAATCACATATTTTTTATTTAAATAAAATTGAGTTCAATCAAAGATTACTAGGACTGAAAATTACAAAAATAAAACCACCCCTAACTTAAAAACGAATCGACAAAAAAAATTTCTTTGACAGTTAGGTATGTACGCTCATTTTTTTCCTTTCCGAAAATGTTTCAAAAAGTAGGAGGTCCCATTTAAAATATTAAAGGCTTGAGGCTAGGGGATGAAAAATGTAACTAATGTTGGTTTTGAACTTCCCCCTTGCGATTCTAATCGACCTGTTTTTGCTTGAAAATATATTTACTCAATGTCAAAAGTTACTGGCTCCTATTGAAATGAAAGAAAGCCCTGTATATGACTCAGTCTGTATAATGTAATAATCATAATATAATAATAAACTACATTATTAATACCTACAAGAGAAGAACATTTATTTTTATTAAATATGAAAACGTATTATTTGTTAAGTTAAATGAAAAAAAAATGCTTTAACAGAATTTTCAAACACATGTTGTCAATTTTTTCGTTCTCATACTCAAAAAACAACCGTGCCCTTGGATTTTAATTTCGAAAATAATTTGCAACTCCGGTGAGATAGTAACGATTTGGGATTAAATCTTTCCAAGATTGGGAGAGACTTGATAAATAACTAACGAAGATTCAACTTATTCTAATAATTATTCATCAGGTAAGTTCTTCAGTATCTCTCCACCATCAGAAAATCCCAAGCGACAATAGCGTTCCAATCGATTTCGGTCAAATGGGTACACAGATTCAACTCCAATATTCAGAAGCTTTTTTCTTAATGAAACAAGAAAATTGAAAATTTTCAATTTTACGCAGTCTTCACTCAAATGCTGAAATTGTCATTTTTATGAAAAAAAAAAACTTAGTAGGAAGACGACAATTCCAAACACCATTCGCCAGATGCCATGACAATTTAATCAAAATAAAAGAATGTTAAAACGCGTCGCGTGAAGTTCTTTTTTACGGTCGAGAAAGTGATGGATGATTCAATAACATCAACCAAATAAAATTTTACCACAAACGCATTATGGAATAATAATACTTACATTTTCATGTTTAAACCTTGTGAGTATTTTAATTTCTCTGAGAGTCCTCTGACAATAAGTTTGATGTTCAAAAGGCGATATTTTCTTAATCGCAACTTTTGTATTTGTGGCGGTATCCAGTGCGGATCTGCAACAAGAATTAAATTCCTATTCAAAAATATCACAACTGTTCTCTTTAATTAGAGTTTTCCAGCGCTTGAAAAATTCACATTTCGAAGTTACAATACACTTCCGTAACAAAATCAATCCAACTGTATTAAAATCAAATGTCAGTTACAAGCAAGATTGGATTCTGGTGGAAAAATTGTGACTTTGCATACGTTCCGCTTATTAGAAGAAAGTCGGCAAGTTTTGATTGGAAAACAGACTCGGAGTTTATTATTTTAATCAACTTCCTAAGATGTATAAAATATATTCATCAATTTGAAATAATTAGACACAGGGTGTTTCACACAACTTTAAGAAGCTTGCGCCTAATGTACGCACCCAAATATACAAAAGTCACAAAACACTGGATACAAAAAATACATATCGAATAATTTAATTTTTGAAAATCCATGACACTAGTTGTCAAACAAGTCACTGTTTCATTAATAGTCATAAACTGCAGTTTTTCAGAAACAATTATCATTTGTTCCATCAAGAGACGGCATGAATATGATTCTAGTTTATCTATCTTAATCACTAACTAACTAAAAATGTTGTACGTTGTAATTTTTTAAAAGGTGAACAAACTGGAGAAGATTATACAATTTTTCAAAATTTGTAATCGAGTTCGTATCGGAATATGTATTATTGATTGCATCTTACAAGCGCAGGCCTCGTAAAATTATGTGAAACACCCTGAATATTGTAAAAAATTCTTACAACTTTCTTCCAAATAACAATTTTCATTGAGTTGTATCAAGCTACAAAATAGCCTGAAACAATTAACCATTAGATTAATTTATAAGCATTTTAATAATAAAAAAAAATAAAATTTTAAATTTACTTTTACTAATGGACTGACTAATCTAATTAGCTTTACTTCATTAACAAGTGCAAACTGAGTAATTGCAATTAATATTATTAGAGGTAAATTAAATAAACATGAAAGTGCGCTAGATACTATTTACTCGTATACACACAACCAAACTTATATGGAATCACACTGGAACTCATAATAATATACATATTGCAGCAAAAAAGAGGTGATGTATAGGGAAAGACGATATTTATTAGTGGTAAAAATATTAATCATACTAGAAAAAGTTATTAAAAATATCGACTCAGTCATTATATTTATGTTTAGTTGTAAAATTTGGTTCAAATTAATACAGGGCAATTCAGATAAGATAATGAGCCTGATGATCTCTCGATGCAACCCAAAAAACAAATTTCATTTATTTACGCCTCTGATCCAATTTAAATTAGGATTTGCAAGTTTAATCCAAGTTATCACTTATGTCACTCTGAAGTCAGCGCAGAGATCGACCATCAGTGTCATTCAGATTTCTCTATCAATTGAAGAAGTCTTTTTATGTGTAAACCCAATACAAAATGAATGAAAGAATGAAACATTAGGCAAACAGTTTTTTTATAAATCATAAATTGCTTGTCAAAGCACTGTCAGAGCAACATAAAATAACCTGGATTGCAAATGCAAATCTTAATAGTCTAAGAGCCCGCGGTCGCCAGACCTTCGTCATTTTATAAAAGTTGAAAATTTGTCAGCGCATACTACCAACACAGGTAAATTATCAAGTAAAAAAGCGTAATTTCTTTATATTTTCTTCGGAATAATATTAGAAATCACCTCATTCATTGCCAGACACTTAATATCGTGGTAACCCCTTGTCAGACATCCTTAAACTTCAATAAGTTGTAACTGTACTTACGTTATAGTATAAAAGCTGAAATTTATACATGTTACTTGGATAACCATTAGAAGATGTTTTCTCAGTAGCCAGACAGTTTCGACAGTTCTAAGTGCTGTTTATAAAATAAAGTTGATTCAGTTTTGACAAAGTATCATCATGGGAAACCTACAGCTACCCTATATGTTTGTCTGGCCGAGGATTAGAACTGTCAAAACTGTCTGGCTACAGAGAAAACATCTTCTAATAGTTACCAAAGTAACATGTCTAAAATTCAGCTATAACGTAAGTACAGTTACAATTTATTAAAGTTTAAGGGTGTCTGACAAGGGGTTGCCACGAAATTAAGTGTGTGGCAATGGATGAGGTGATTCCTAATATTGTTCCGAAGAAAATGTAAAAAAATTACGGTTTTTTATTCAATAAATTTAAGTTGGTATTTTTTACTTCTTTGCCACCTGTTACCTCGCAAAGCCACGATGACTCAAACTTCATACTTGCCAATGGTTCCTTCTTGTGTTTTTTTCATTAAAAAAAATTAATATTTCTATTTAATTAATTTGACGTGTGTCAATGTAAAATAAATGACAACTTAATTCGAATTAGTTTAATTCTGAATTAAATTTTCATTTTGTTTTCTGTAAACCGGCTCCTAAAAGAATTTATCTTGAAACTACGTCAAGTTTGCAATCCGATAATTTACGACCCTACCTGCTTGCGGTTAGAAGGGTCGGCATCCAGCAGGGTTTGGTTTATTGAGGCGTCATTTTCATTTTGTTCGACTGTACTTAGAATTGGATACACTTAAGAACAGGCCAAGAAGGGTAACGTAGAGCAGCAAGACTGTTTTTAATGCCAAATCGCTAGAAGAGACCCGACAATTTCGCATCCAGAGCTCCAAAGACAACTTTTGCAAGCCGGTATTAGTGTTTCAGTGAAAACAATACGCAAAAGACTTCGTGCTCTATTTCAGTGAAAGGAAAAGTTTTTTTTCTTGATTTTGGACTTGGACTGATTAACACCAAAAAGTATAAAAACAGTAAGAGAAAATGCAAAGTAATAATATTCGTCAATATTACTTAATACTATTGTTTTCCAGGGCCTACTTTAATAAATACATTATTTTATTTAGCGAATATCTAGGCATATGGTACAAAAACCTTTTAAAAGGCAATTAAACTAAGAATCCAACAGTTGTAAAATATACAGGGTTGCATTTAAAAAATTAAAGTTGTCTCACTTTCGGTGAAACCGAAAACAGCATTAATTGAGCATCTATCTTAAACGATAGATGAGAAAAAATGTTCAATTTTGTTCTAAGAAGTATTGTCATAACTTGAGCTTGGAGTGTTTTTCATAATACAGCCTGTATAAACTCATATCCTATACCGTGCCATGAGCATTATTATTATCTTTTTCGAGGTTTCTAAAAACTGTTGTTTTTAATTGTTACAGTTTTGATCTAGGTGTGCTATGCTATAATTATATCAATCATCGTTTTACAGTATGCCTACGTATTTTAAAAAAGGTCCATATTTAATTATGTACACAGTACGGTTTTGGTCAAAGCCAAAGCGACCTAAGTCCGACGAAACATAATAAGCTTGAATGTGTATGTACCCGAGAGGTATCGAAAACAGAGAATAATAAATTCATTGTTTATAGAGAAAATAAGCACACGTCCTTTATCAAAAGCTCCGTATATTTTATGGATTGTACGAAGTTAATTTGTTTTTTTAACATTCAGTAAATGACTAATTAAAGCAAACAAGTGTTTTACCAAACATTAAAACAAAATTAAAAACAAATTCATCTTTGAAAATAAACAACAAAATTGATGTATAAAAGCAAGTGCTGAGACAACAAACACAATAATCAATAGTGTTATTAACATTTTAAATAAAAATCGTCGAAATGCACATTCGCATATTACCCATCGAGTTATTTAGCATTATAAAAATAAATTGGAAATACCTGAAAAAATATAATATTTCGTACGTCCAAATCTCCCGTTCAACATCCACAGTTTTGTAAAAATCGAATCGAATACAACTGCAATCTAAAACGAATTTCCCCAAATGAGGTTGGATTGGGCTTAACCACACACGAGAGAACTTGTTGACGCTGTCGGTACCTAGTAAATCAAATACATGACATGGTAAAAAAGGTGCTTATATTATACCTACTCGTATCTACTGAATGAACAAATATGTTCTATATGTAATTATTCGTTTTTGAAAAACACTCTTTTCTCGTATACAGTGAGCGGCAAAATTATAGAATAATCTTATTAAAACTGAAAACATTATGTTTTGGCAAAAATGCTCAGACAGATCAATTTTCTTTTTAAAAAATACACCATTTTCAACTTGATTGGTTTTTGAGTAATGGTGTCATCAACATTTTTCTTTTAATGGGAACCCTAATTCTTTAACCAATTCGTTATATCTTTTAATTGTCGAAATGACAACACAAAAATATTAAATCTATATACCAGGTGAATAAAAAATATGGAATTCGCATTCTCAAACTGAGTAAAACAAACTTATTTGTACTTATTTGTTATAGTTTTTGACACATGCAAATTTTTTTGTCGAAATTATTATTTGCAGGGATTTATTTAAAAAATCTCAGCTCTTCAACCCTTTGCAATAAGTAAGTTATTTTTTTTTTGTTTTAGATAACTGAATGTTTACAGAATCTTCGTAAGTAGCTCAAGATTCTCAACTCTCAAACTTCAAGACTAATAGGATTTTTTGAAAATGGTTATTAAAAAACAGTTGAAATAGTATAAAAATAAAATAGTTCAAATAGTATAACGCTATTTTCTTAACGGCACTCGAAAGAACATCTATTTTTATAAAGACTCTTATCAACATGTCCAATAACTATCTACTTTAGAAGATTTTTCAAACCTTCGGTTAACAAATGCAAAACATTTTTATTCACAATCATTAATGTAATTTGCCAATTACTAACTTTTTAAAGGTTGGGAAACACATCATTAAATCTCATGAGCAGTAATATTATTTTATCCCTTGGGCGGTAATATGCAGGTTTGCCAAAATTAAAATTTTAAAAATACCGGAAATCTTTTCGTTCAATTGTCAAGTTACGCATAATATTTTATTAATTTTACCATTTAAAGGCACTAATGGACTTTACCAACTCGCTGGGACACCCTGCATAAATCATGATTATCGTAATTAATTTTGGTAGTAATTAAAAATGTTTTGTCACGACCCCTTATCAAAACCTCGATCAGAACTAA